ATTGTCTTACCAGTTCTAACTGATCTGGTGTCAAATTTGTTTGACGTGACCCTCCTTCACCGTCTGCAGATCTCTGATACAGATTTCTATCCCCACTTCTCAAGGTGTCCGCCAAATTTCCACCACCAAAAAAACACCCGTTAGGCCCCTTTCCCCCAACAACTTGACTCCAAATATAGAAATCCACATCTGGATGAACCGGTTTTTCTGGAGGAGGCGTATACTGAGGATTATGGGTCAGAAATTCTACAAGCAACGCCTGATAATCCTCCTACACATACAATAAAAAAATCAAGTTAAATTTATAAGTAACATTAATGAAATTAAATGAAATAAAAAATAATAATAAACAACAAATAGCCACGTGATTGTAACGCCACAACTTATCAGTTACCACTCAATTTTCACGCCACAACATGTCACTTGCTACATGAAAATCACGTCACAAAATTGCTTAAAAAAATATAAACATAAATTTACTTACCAGGGCTTTTTTTGTGCGCTCGTCAATAAATCCTCCCGATTTCTTTGTCCGAGTTTCCTTAACCAGCTCAGTCATCAATGGTTGTCTCCCCAAACGCTTAGCCTAAATAAAAAAATTAACTTAAATTAATAATATGTTATAAATCTAAATATGACCTTAAAAAGTGGTAATAATTACCATGCGTCGAGCATGCTCAGCAGTACTAATACTTCCAACAGCATTAAGGCAACCCCCTTTTTCCGATGCCCTCATCTTCTTTGTAGTTTCATATTTAGCCTTAAATTTGATCTGATTCCCAATACTTAAGAAGTTGTTCAAAAACTTCTTTGCCTATCCATTTGGGACGAATGCCCAAAAGGTGCCAATTTTCTCTAACACGTCATAGCATGTCAGAAAATCGTCTTGAACTCCTGCCAAAATTTTTTTTTTTTACTTTGTTATGGTTCAGGGGATCCCAAACACATTTCGCCTGCAATGTTGTATGACATTAAAATAAATAGTTAGATAAATTATAATAATAATGAAAAGGTCATTTAAATAAAAATAACTTAAAAAATAAATTAATTATACCTGAAATTGCTTGAACCATTCTTCTTTATCGGAAACTTCTCTAAAACTCTTCAAAAATTTTGTATAATTCTGCTGAATTATATAATTGATAACCTTAGCAGCAGTCCGACTCGGCCCGAAACTAAAACAACAATAATTGAATTAGCATAATTAATTATATAAAGTTATATTAAAAATGGAAATGTGTACTTATAAATAAAAATCAATAAATAAGAAACTTACGAGTTCCCTTCAGGCCATATCCAAAATCTCCCATTAATGGTATGAATCTCACTCGGATCATCATCCCCTCGAAGATCTCTCCCATCTATCTGATCATCATCCACACCAAGATCGTCATCATCCGACTCTGTGTGGGATGTGGGGGTGCGACCAGTCTGTATGGGTCGTGAAGAGGTGGATCCTCCAGGCTGCTGGACGGATGGGGGCATCTGTGTAGGAAGTGGGGTGCTGGGTTCAGCGGCAAAATCAGGATGTACCTCATCAAAGTGCTTCCATGCATGGCCGTCAGATGAGTGTCGCATATTGCCTGGGCTTGTTTTGTTTGTATGATGCCATGTCATTTGACTTGCACTGTGCATTGAAGAAAACATTCTTTTTAACCTTGGTATTATCGGAAGATAAAACATGGACTTTACTGCTACCCGTTTTTGGTTACTGTTAATGGCTCTATTGCGAACTTTATATCTTGGACTATAACAAAACTTACATTCCTCTGACGATCCATCTCGAGTACCAAACTCGTTGTCATAAAACAACATACAACCATTAATGCAACAATCAATCTTTCTTACTCTTAAACCCAACTTCGACACCAACTTCTTTGCATCATAGAAACTCGCAGGTAAGTTGTCTTTCGTTGCAGTTGAGTCCAACATCATTTTTGCGAAGTACTCCAAACACTGATCAGGAACATTCCAATTTGACTTGGCGGCCAATAATCTAACACACATTGATAGCTTTGAGTCTGACGACCCCTCAAACAACGGCGTATTCATCTCATTCAACAACTGATAAAATCTCTGCGCTTCCTCATTCGGCAACTCTTCCCCGTCAAAGTCTTCAGGTTGATCATAGGTCACGTTAACACCAAAAGCATCACCAACCATGTCACCTATCAGATTAAAGTTTTCTTCAAATTCCATAGGTGGTTGCATAACCGGTTGACTACTTGAAGCATCTGTGTTGCTAGTCTCTGGTACATTACTCGGCAGTGTTACACCATGATACGTCCAAACCCAATAATTTTCAATGAAACCTTTCCTATGCAAATGACGTGTTATTTCCTCTGGGTCACTAATTATATATCTACATCCACATTTAAGACAAGGACACCTAACTCCTCCTTCACTTCGACAACGTTCCTGGGCAAACGTCCACGCGATAAAACCATTAACTTCGTCTATAAAATTGGGTTTAAGTGCGCGTCTTCCTGGATATAGTCTATCGTACATCCAACTACGATAATACATATAATATTCCATTTACTGCAAATTTATATAATCAAAACCTATTTAATTAGAAATATTAATTAATCAACTTAATAATAATCCTAAACATATACAATTAAAGATAAATATATGCTTTCAAAAATATTTATAAACTCCTAAAAATATTTATTTATTTTTAAACAATTAAAATTTAATTTAAACACCTAAATTTTATAAACTCCTAAAAATTTAAAAACTTATTAAACTCCTAAAAATTTAATTTAAACACTTAAAATTTATAAACTCCTAAAAATATTTAGTTATTTTTAAACACTTAAAATTTAATTTAAACACCTAAATTTTATAAACTCCTAAAAATTTAAAAACTTAAACTCCTAAAAATTTAATTTAAACACTTAAAATTTATAAACTCCTAAAAATATTTATTTATTTTTAAACACTTAAAATTTAATTTAAACACCTAAATTTTATAAACTCCTAAAAATTTAAAAACTTATTAAACTCCTAAAAATTTAATTTAAACACTAAAAATTTATAAACTCCTAAAAATATAAAAACTTAAACTCCTAAAATAATTAAACTCATTCATTACAAATTAATAATTAATAATTATTATAAACAAAATAATTAAACCTAACATTTAACTCAAATACAGAAAATATATATAACCCAAATTCAACAATTTTAACCCAATGCAAATTCATGAAATTCAGAAAATATATATAACCTAAAAATTAATCAAATTCAGAAAATATACTAATTTCAAAAAAAAAAAAATTCAAGACATACCTTTTATCTTGTAACTCCTTCAATCTTCTTGTCCCTTTTTGCAATCTATACTTCTATCAATATTCTCCTTCTCTATTCAAAGAAAAATTGAAAAAAAATTATACTCAAATAACACATCAAAAGTTGTTAACAAAGTATAAATAACATTGAATTGAAATTACCTTACAACCAATGTATGGAGATGGTAGGAATTTAAGTGTGGAGAAGAAAAATTTTTGGAGAAGAAAATGGGTATGGAGGAATAGGGAAGGTTGAAGAAGAAGTATAACAAAGTGAAACGCTACTGTGTGTTGTGGAGCGTTTTGATAAATCAGATAAAGCAAGTAGCGACGTGAAAATCACGCCGCAACGTTGCCACGTGATTTTCACGTCGCAACAATCATACAACTGTTTTCTCTTCCTTCAAAACCTGAACACGCCAGTGTTGGAAGTTGTGATTAATTTAATTTTTATGATATTTTAATTAGCGACGTGAATCCCACGTCGCAACTTTTTTTAACACAAAAAAAAACTGACACACTTAATGCTTCTTTATTATATTATTAAAACATGTTGCCACGTGATTTTCACGTCGCAACTGACTTTATTTAGCCACATGAAAATCACGTGGCAAATTCACGTGGCTGGGTAAACATTTTCTTGTAGTGTAATCCCAATTTTTTGTAAGTAAGTCAAACAAGTCATTCACAGTATTTTACAGTTGCAAAGTGAATAAGAAAGTGAATAAGAAAGTTTTCACAGTTTGTGAGCAGAGAGAAACTCTGCAGAAATTATTTGTCTTGTCTTCTTTTCTTTGTTTTTCTCATAACTAATCGTCATTGTGGTAGAAATTCATCATAGTCTTTTAGTGGATTTCCAACAAAAACTACGTGCATAATAATTTTGTAGAGACTAAAAATTTACCATTATTTTGATAAGGACTAAAAATAAAATTTAAAATATTTATAAAAATCAAAAACATATTTAACTCTTAAATTAATGAGTGCATGTAAAAGTGCAAATTAAATTGATGATATTGTATGACTAATAAATGAAGATATCAAATTAGCGACTAGACTATATATTAAAAATAAGTGCAAATGCCAATGTATTGTGTACACAGTGGCCAATTTAATTGACATTTTCATCTTATCATGAAATATTGTCAATTCAATTAGTACTTTCATATACATTTGTCAATTCAATCGAAACTAGTTCTATTTTTTCTAACAAAGATGCCATTTAGATTGGCATGTGCTCTACGTTGGCAATTTTTTAATGAAATATGAGTACTTTAAGAATGAGTGAAAAAACTTGATTATTTGACAAACTTGGTTAAAGAATGAGTACTTTAAGAATTTTTTTAAACAAAATTGGTTATTTTGATAAATAAAAAAAAAAGCTCAAGTATAGCTATTGGAGAAACCGATTTAAATATTACACGCATATAATAAAGATCAATTTTAATATAAATATTTTATAAGAATTAAAATAGAACAAAAAAATAAAGTTAAAAATAAAATTAGAGGACTAAGACATAAAAAATATATATCTAAATTTTTAACTATTATAAAAATTAATATTTTATCACCTCCTCTTATGATACCTATGAATTATTAATATTATTCATTTATTAATTTTTCAATTATTTTTTATTTTAAAATTTTTAAACAACTATATATATATATATATATCCCTTGCCTCGTCTCTCATTCACACACTACAAAATGATCAATCAATTATATTATATCTTTCTTTTTTGGTTCTCACTTTATTGCTTCATTACTTGCTCAGCTGCAGATATAAAAAATATTAGCACAGATGAATCTTCTCTTCTAGCATTTAAGTCTCTCATTACTTCAGATCCACATGGTATGTTGGCTAATAATTGGTCAACTTCATCATCTGTATGCAATTGGGTTGGTATCACTTGTGATAATAAACACAATAGAGTCCACAGTTTGAATCTCACAAACATGGGTCTTAGAGGCACTCTTTCTCCAAATTTAGGGAATTTGTCGTTCTTAGTTATACTTGATCTCTCCAACAATCGTTTTGGTGGTATGTTTCCTAATGAGGTATGTAGGTTACGCAGACTAAAGGTTCTTGATTTCGGCTTTAACGATTTTGTTGGAGAAATTCCTATGGCATTGGGAGAATTATCACAGCTTCAACAATTAAATCTCAGTATTAACCATTTCAGTGGTTTTATCCCTCCATCTTTATGCAACTTGTCTAAGTTAGAGAACTTTAATTTTGGAAAAAATTCCTTGGAAGGAACCATTCCACCTGTAATAGGACAACTTGGTCGACTGAAACGATTGATTCTTACTTACAACAAGTTGTCGGGATTCATACCCAAAGAAATCTCCAACATATCTTCACTTCAAGGATTGTTTGTAGGTTCTAACTATTTTTCAGGTATTTTTCTCATGTTTCTCTTGTATCATCATATCGTTTAAAAGTAAAATTGTTATTATCCTTAAAAGTTGGAAGACAAACAGACACTCTAAAAGTCCAAAAAAAATGGAACAGAGGACATTTTTTTAAATCAAAAAATTATAAACTTTTATATTAATTTACACGTTTGTAAAAACTCAAAAAACATGACATGAGTTGAAAAGAATTTATTAGAGTGTGAGATTAAATCTTTGTTCCCCTCTAGAAAAAAAATACCGCAAAAACATAAATGTTAGAAGAACTAATCGTTTTGCCACCCTACTTAAAAGTTTATCATATACAATTACTTAAATATATTATTTTATAATTGGTTTAGATTAACTGATTGTATAATAATTTTATATTAAATTTATTTAAATAATTAAATCACACACATATGGTTAATAATAATTAAGTATTAAATATATTTAATCACACATGTTTTACAACCCGTAGTCCACTTAACATACCGTATTAATATATAACTTCTTTAATGTTTTTGTTAAGTAATTCTAAATATATTTTAGAAACTCTAACAATCTCCCACCAATTATAAAATATATATAAATATAATTTCATTATTATAAAAAACTTCATGATTGATACTAAAATATCTTACAATTTAAATTATATATTTTATTAATATGTGTGTATAATTCGTTCATGAAATTTTGATATCATTATTCGAATTATAAAATTTATATTTGATAAGATTTTGCGTCTCATTCTTTTTCTTGAAAACTTAAGAGTCAAACACATCGATTATATGAAGTAGTTCAACTTTATTCTTATCTAGGAAAACTACATAAAAAATGCATTCATATTTATGCTTTCAAAAACAATATATTTATATTTTATATGTGTATTAAGAAGAAATATCGTCATAACCATTTTATCGTTATTTATGATCCAAGTACATTTTTCCTTTTGAGATATATCTTTATTAAGTACTTCAAAAAAATCTAATATTGTATTTTCATAATTGAACACGAGACAAGATGTTGCTCAAATGTGAATTGAGTTTCCTTTCTTGATGTTAAATAAGATATCAACCCTTATCACACATCTAGTGATGTCTTTAACAATAGATTTGAACACATAAATATTTCTCAATCCTTTCGTTAAATAATTTCAAGATTTTTCTTGACTTTAATTAATTTTTTTAATTTTGATCAACTAATGTGGTAAAATTATGTCTAATGAAAGAAGATTGAAGAATAATGATGGTACTTCATCCAACTTAATGTTGGTTGCTAGAGGAAGACACAACATTTCCATCACATATCTCACAAGAAACACTAGTTGCATAAAAAATAACTTGTCTATTAAATAGGTTTTCTCTAGTTGAGATCTTATCTTGGGGTAGTTATCAGGAAAATACTACCAATCTTGACGGAACCTAACTACACCAATTAGCTGTCAAGATCTAGTCCAAAGTAATAAAGGTGTGATTTTGGTAATAGAATATACTTCATCCTCCGTAAGACACCAATACCAATGATCAGTCTCCAAGGAAAATATAATATCCTAAATAGTCAGAATTAGGTCATCGACCAACACTTTATCTTAGTCAAAGAAAGATCTCATCCATCGAAAGTTCTAAACTACATACCATAAACCAAAACACCAATCTCTCGATCCTTCACCTTTTTTATAAGAGATAGCATAAAGCCTATGAAAAGTAAGTCTAAGAGAAACATTTTTAACTCATAGATCATCCCAGAAGGAGGTACATATGTCAGAAACCACATTTTGTCTTAAACCATCAACAAACCTATTAAAGGTATCACTTGATTTAAAATTGAACTTCACAAGCATTAAATCCAAAAAGATCCACATTCGGAATGAGACAATCATTTTTAGTTTATTAACAAGGTCAGTCAAATCATTCATATCCAAAAGGTATCCTTTTAGATAAGTCTATTGATTATACAAAACTAGTTTATCTATAACCTCGAGTAACTTTGTTCCTAACACTTTTTCTACTAGCTTCTAGTGAGGCTCAACTAAAGAGATATGTCAAAAATCATCCAAGTTCGAAGGCAACACAATCTTGGAGATAAGAGTGACAAAAGTGACCAAATAAGTAAATAAATTATGACTGAGAGAATTCATACAATGAAACTACTTAAATATTCAACCCATACCCCCACCCCCTTAGGAGATGTCAAAATATCTTAAAGAAAGAGAAATTGAACCCCTCGGGGCCATTACTCTTATTCCAATCATACTGAGAGACCACCAAGTCAATCTCCATAGGAAAAATAAGAGATAAAAACACATAAGTGGAAGAAACCTGTGTTGACATCTCGTTCTCTTAAACACTTTGCTTTAGACCTTTGAAAATCTGAGAGTTTTTAACACTAAGAAAAGACCATATATCCGTCGATATCACTCTGGCCCCATCGGCTAAGTCTAATTGCATGAAGAATCAATCCTTAGTCCAATTTTAATTCCATAACTTGTCCCATTCTCTCAAGGTATCAATATGATGAACTAGATTACACAATACCTTCTTACTCCAAACTTTCAAGACATTCTTCAACGATTTAATTTCTCTTTAAGAACAAACGCCTTTCAGTCCTCATAAATGGAACTAAATTTAAATCAATAACTAAAAAAATCAAGTGTTCCTTTAATTTGTTTAGTTCTATCAAATTAGATCTTTGATTTTTGCAGTCTCGCAATAGGTTCTTCAAGTCTTATAACATAGACATTGTTAACTTTTTTTACATATTTATTAATCTATGTGCAAAAATACGCATACACATATTTGTTATCCTACTGCTGTAGTGTATGAAAATCTGAAACATTTATATTACATTTGTAACATAATGTATGAAAATTGATAACAATATACACAATAGAATATAAAAGAATTATATGACAAAGAATAAAACAAAATAATTAATCCGATAAAACTTACAAGAACAAACTAGAATAAAATTTAAATTATTACACATAAAATTAAATGTAATAAAAACTATTGCATAACCATTAAAATAAAGTAAGTTTTATTTCTTTTCAAAATTTTGATTCTATTTGTGCCCTACATTTCTCATCATAAAAAGTCAGAAATACGACATAAAAAAGATATAAGAGAAAGGATGCTCGCTTAGATTTACCAATTATATTTGTTTGGTTTCTGTGTTTTGCATTTTATAATATATTGGTTTCAAGGAAAATATTTACACTCTACATTTCTCAATTTAAGTGTGCTACAATTTCATAGGAACATTGTACGCATGATTTAGCATACAAATATTTGTTGTGGACATAACAAAAACCACACCAATCAGTTGAACAAATATTATAAGAATTGTTATCTTCATAATCACATTGTTTCTTAATCACTTTGCTTCTTATCCATTTTCAGGTCCAATACCCGAGGAGATTGGTTATCTTGGTCAACTTGAGTATTTAATATTGGCATATAACAACTTTAGTGGATCTATTCCTTCCAATTTCCTTAACAAATCATCACTCACAAACTTGCAGATTGAACATAATAGTCTCTCAGGTATAATTCCATCTAATATGAACCTTCCTAGCATAGTAACCATACACTTGTATCACAACAATTTTGTTGGAAATATTCCAGCGAGTATATTCAACTTTTCTAACCTCATTCAACTTGACTTGGGTGAGAATGCATTTAGTGGAACTTTGCCTAATAATGCCTTTGCAAATTTAAGGTTCCTAGAAGAGCTTATGATAGATGACAATTATTTGACTATTAATGATTCTCTTCAATTCTTTAATTCCTTGACAAATTGTAGATATTTGAAATATCTAGTGTTATCAAGCAATCATATTCTACCGAATCTTCCCAAGTCAATTGGAAACATAACTTCAGTAGCCTTTGTAGTAGATTTTTGTGGAATTTATGGTAATATTCCCTTAGAAATTGGAAACATGAGCAATTTGATAGCTCTTTCTATGGTTGGGAATAATATAAATGGCCCCATACCTAGAACATTAAAAGGGTTACAAAAACTTCAGAGATTGGGATTGAGCAACAATGGTCTACATGGATCATTTATTGATGAGCTTTGTGAAATGAGGAGTTTAATTGAGTTGTATCTATATAATACTATGCTTTCTGGTGTTTTACCAACATGTTTGGGAAACATGACTTTTCTTGAACATTTAGACTTAGGATATAACAACTTGAACTCTAAGATACCTTCCTCTCTTTGGAGTCTCACAGATATCTTAGAGATAAATTTGACCACTAATGCTTTCACTGGTAATCTTCCACTTGAGATTGGGAATTTAAGAGCAATTGTACTATTAGATATATCAAGAAATCTAATTTCAGGCAATATTCCTACAACCATTACTTTCTTAAAAACAGTGGAAAATATATCCTTAGCACATAACAATCTGCAAGGGTCAATTCCTTCATCACTTGGTGACATGGTAGGCTTGATCTCCTTGGACTTGTCCCAAAATATGCTCACTGGTGTTATTCCAAAATCTTTAACGTCACTTTTGTATCTTCAAAATATCAACTTCTCATATAATAGTTTACAAGGAGAGATTCCCGATGGTGGACTTTTCAAAACTTTAACAGCCCAATCTTTTATTCATAATGAAGCTCTTTGCGGAAATCCTCGCCTACAAGTGCCTCTATGTGCTAAACAAGTTAGGAAAATTTCAAGGAAAAAAAAATTATTACTCAAATGCACAATTCCCTTAGTTTTGCTAACCGTTTTTGTTGTTGCATGCATAATACTCATAAAACATAAAAGCAAAAAGGTTGAAAATAATCTTGAGAAAGGTTTATCAACTTTAGGAGGTCAAAGAAGAATTTCTTATTATGAACTTGTGCAAGCAACAAATGGATTCAATGAGGGTAACTTACTTGGAAAGGGTGGATTTGGCTCTGTGTATCAGGGAAAACTTCTTGATGGTGAGATGATTGCAGTTAAAGTTATTGATTTGCAGTCAGAGGAAAAATAAAAAAGCTTTGATGCAGAATGTAATTCAATGAGAAATCTACGACATCGAAATCTGGTTAAGATTATCAGCAGTTGTTCAAATCTCGATTTCAAATCATTGGTGATGGAGTTCATGTCAAATGGAAGTGTAGACAAATGGTTATATTCATATAACTATTGCTTAAATTTCTTGCAAAGGTTAAATATAATGATAGATGTTGCATCTGCATTGGAATACCTCCATCATGGTTCTCCAATACCTGTGGTTCATTGTGATCTTAAGCCTACAAATGTGTTGTTGGATGAAAATATGGTTGCACATGTTAGCGATTTTGGTATTGCAAAGCTCATGGATGAAGGACAATCTAAAACTCATACAAACACTTTGGCTACTATTGGATACCTTGCACCAGGTTATTTCTTGATCTCTTTTACTTCTTAACATTTTCTTCTTTATGCTTTCATTCCTAACCAATGTATTTTATTTTGTGAATAATAAATTTTAATTCCAGGCCGTCTCTTTCAGTTTGGATAAATATGTAAAAGGGCTTATTGATTTTTAAAAACTACCATTCTTGTAGTGAAATGGGAAATTATTGGTCACTCGAGTTTAAATTCTTAATTATCATAAATTATTTATATTTATAAATACAATAGTATGTATACACTTCAAAAGAAACATTTGTTAAAAATAAAAGGAAACACGTTGGAATTTATAATTTGTTTCTTTAAATTTGTTTCTTTGATAACTATTAGTACTTATATATAAACGTGCAGAGTATGGATCTGAGGGAATTGTTTCTGTCAAAGGGGATGTGTACAGCTATGGGATAATGTTAATGGAAATCTTCACAAGAAGAAAACCTACAGATGATATGTTTATTGGAGATCTAAGTTTGAAAACATGGATCGGTGAATCACTGTCTGATTCAATTTTGGAGGTTTTGGATTCTAATTTAGTCCAACAAAATGGAGAACAAATGGATGACATATTGACACACATGTCATCTATTTTTGGTTTAGCCCTGAATTGTTGTGAACATTCACCTGGAGCAAGAATCAATATGGCAGATGTTAAAGCAACGCTAATCAAAATCAAGACTTTGATTTTTGGAAGAAGTGCGATCTAGTTATTTTTGTCTGTACAAGTGGTTGTTAATTTACTTGAATGTACTTTTTCTTTTCTAATGTTTGTTTGTTAGTTCACTGGAATGTTTCTTGCTTCTATGGAATTTCATGTGGTTCTTAATGACTAGATGGCTACATAATTGTGCAGACAATAAATTTTTTTTTGGTAGTTTTTGTTGAAATATTAGATATAATATTATATATAATCTAAGTTGTGTAATTCAAGCCTAAGTTGAATTAGGATTTGTTAGCTTACTTAGTGTACAAGTTAGTTGTATATAAATAGATGAGTTTGTAAATCAGTTTGTAACAATTCAAGTCAATAATATAATCCTTATTTATTTTATTTCTCTTTCTCTCCTCACTAAAAGTGTCTCACGCACTAACAAATTGGTATCTAGAGCTCTGGTTAGATTCTTGATCGTGTTTTCAAGAATCACACGTCAGAGATCGTATTTTCAGGATTGTGGGTTGTTGTGATCGGTAGATTTAGAACTGACTGTTTAACGCTGGTTCGCGAAATGTCACGGAAGCAAGAGTCGCCACCGTCTTTTATTTTCTCCAACATGGACAGGAAAAAAGCACAACAAAATTCCTTATGAGAACCTTTCTCGGTTTGGGAGGTAGATTTATAGAAAGGGATGGTGTTAGCACCCTTTCTATCCATGGTTATCCATGGGCTCTTAGATACTTGCTCTTTATGTTTTCAAAAGATGTTTGCTTTTCAAGTGTGAGTGGGTTTGAAAAAGTTTCGTTTAAAGATTTCTGAATAACTCTTGTATCAGTCCTCAAGAGTGTTTGAAAAATTGTTTTGGAAGCTTTTTGAAAGTGTCGGTGTGAAAAGGTTTTTGATTTGTTTTGAATAGAGCAAGTATCCATGAGTCATCTACCTACCCTAAGGAATTAGGCTGTGTAAGAGTCCTTAAGATAGTGTCATCCCACCATTGAGAGGTAGGTAGCACCACCGTTGGAGGTGTTCAGGTCAATTCGATTATTAGGGACATTGTGGTCACCGAAGCAACAGTAGGACACCTTAGAAGCTACCCTTATGTCCTTGATCCTTTTTTTAATCCGAGGCAACCGTTTCGAGGAAACTATTTCGAGGCAACTGTTCCGAGGCAACGGGATCATGGACATAAGGACTTACTAAAACGTCCTATACTTGACGACCACGTTTTGAAGGCAACAGGTGAGGCGTACCCTAGAAGTGGTGTGTGTATTTGTGTGTTGTTTTCATGTTAAGTTTATCTTTGATCATGGCATTGTGAGCTACGCTTGTTTTTAATTAACCATACATTCTTTCATGCAATTTAGAATTTAAGAGTGCGGAAATTTTAATGCGGAAAGATAAAGGCTACGCTATTACAAGGCGCGGGTCTATACATCGCCAAAGTACAAAGACCCGTTTTTGATAGAAGATGCGGAAAGTAAAAAAAAGCGATAAACCTAATTACTATTACATCCTTGAGCAGTTACATAATATTCAAAAAGAAAATAATGCGCGAAATAGAAATTGAAATTGAATGTCCGAGGGTTTTGACCCTTTTGAAATTAAATTGAATTAAAAGCTAATTAATTATTTAATTAAAGAAAATGTTTTTTATGTTTTTTGTATTTAATAAAAATAAAGAAAATTAAAATCAAGAGAAACCCTAATTCTAAGTTTATTTTAATTATTTAAGAAAAAAAAATTAAAGTTACTCTAATTTACTAATTAATTAATGTACATGTTTATTTACAAAAATAAATAGTAATTATAATAATAATAAATAATGAGGAAAATAGTTGATTAAGAAAAAGATAAAATGTCAAAACCTAATTCTATGTATTTTATTTATTAAGAAAAGTGTCAAAATTAAAACCTAATTTAACTAAGTTAATTGTTAATTATTTATTTACAAAAAAAATATGTTAGTGATGAATTAATAAATAATTAAATATTTTTGATTTTTCTGTTTTTATTATGAAAAGAAAATTATTTTAGGTGAATTAAATAAAAATAATTAAAAAAAACAATTGAAAGAATTAAAAAGAAAAGAAAATTAAATTAAATATACAAACCAAGGGGGTATCAGGCCCAGAAAGGAGGTGTTTGAGGAAGAATCTTGGCCCATTAACAAAGCCTTGGTTTGACTTTCCGTGCTTGGGTGCACGTTGGTTGACTGTAGTGTATCATGGAATTCACCTTCTGACCATTGGATGGGATCTCCTGGCCACTTGGCAAGCACAGGCATGAGGACGTATGGTGGCCCTTTGAATGAACGTTGCATAAGATTGTGTTAGGAAAAATATTATGAATTATATGGAGGGACCTGGGAATCGAACCCAGGTCCCTATACCTGCAAGACACCTCATCAACCAACTGAGCCAGGAAACGCGCTTGTTCATACAATGACAAAGAAATATAATATATAAAATATGCCCATTATGCTGAAATATAAAAAAAAACGCGCCAAAGTTTGAACCTCCCAATCACGCTTGGACACGCATGCTTCTTCTTCATCTTTTTCCTGCAATTATAAAACAAGTAGCGGGGGTTTTAAACCCCCACAAACTAAAAGTGTGGAAAATAGCGATTACGCCTACAGGTAACATAAATTGAGCGCGAGGTGTTGGTTTGCTTCGTCTTGAGCTTCTAAATTCAGCTGTATAGGTCTAAAGGTCCAATTTTTCCTCTACATGAAAGCCCTATTTTGAAGCTTTGGAAAACCTAATTTTCGTTCATGGCAGAACTTGATACAAGCAGTTTTAATACAATTAAACCATACCAAAAGTTTCAGGGAGATGTTAGTAATACAAATCAATGATCAAAACACATGAATGATGCATAGAAATTGAAATTCGATTATGGACATATTTATGAAAAAGGTGATTCTGTTCTACCGATTCTTGGAGTATGGGGACTTGTTCTTGATGCCAATAGTTTCCTAGCAACGTCAGTAATGCAATGGAAAAGCTTTTAGGCCTTGAATCGCCCTGCAAATACAAAATCAGTTTCCAAGTTTTTGATGAAAAGTTGCAACTTTGTTCTATGGCTTTAGCAGCTTTTTCGTGTATGCTTGAATAGGGTTTCACTCAGCCTTTGTATGTGAACGAAATTAGGTCAAGAAACAAGCCCATAAGTCCATGAATTGATGTTTTGAATCTTTGATTTTCATCATATATTTTTCAATCTTTTTCCATTGAAATCTTTGCCAATCATGGATGATTTTCCTTTTTTGGATGTGAAACGACTTGGCCAGCTTGCCCTAGTTTGATTTGCTGCACAAAAAGATTTGAAAAAGCATTATTTGATATTTTCTCATAATTAAATCTAATTAAATGAATTAATAAGAATAAAAATTCAATTAATTAATTAAAAATAAGAAAATAAATCCCTTTGAGCTCAATGGGTCGTGCATAGGCTTTGGGTAATGATTCAAGGAAGAATTTGAGGCCCATTAGCAATTTTGAAGTGTTTTAGGCAAAGTTGACTTTTGAAAATTCCCAAAAATTTCCCAACTTCTCCAATGCATATCTTGCTGAATTTTGAAGCTATGATCATGTTCTTGGACATTTTGGAAAGGTCTTGAAGTCCTCTAACCAATTCCTTTGGTCCCATGTCATTTTGATTTACCAATCTCAAGTTATGGTCTTTGACTTAAAGTGCCTTTTTGTTGACTTTTGAAAATGACCTATAATGTTGAAATTGATAACTTTTTGTGAGAGCATTTCTTGGACTTGGAATGTGAAGATGAGTTGTAGGAAATGTCATTCTATTCAAAATGAGCTTTGTATGGGATTTTTATGATAAACCCTGAGGAAGTTATGCCTTGGTCAATTTACAGTTGACTTTTTCAACTGTCCAAAAATAGAAACTTTTGCATCTTGAGACTTTTTGAGCCATGCTTTGAGAATCATGATCAAGAATTGATCAAATGATGATTGTGGCTTCAAAATAAGATGTTGACCAAAAATTTTGGCTTTTGATTGCCAAATGACCATTTTACCCCTGCAGTTGACTGTGAAGCAATTAGGGTTTTTGACTGTGCAATTTGATGCTGTGAGTCTTGAAATTTGACATATGGATGCTTGACAATGTATATAGGCATTTGGGACTTGATTGGACCCTTGGAAACCTCAATTTCTTTGCCAGAACCAAAACCCTAATTTTGACTGTGTTAGGAGGCAATTGGACTGTGCAATCCTTGAGAGATTTTGAACCATGATCTTGGCAAATCTTGAAGAATATGGGAGGGCAAATTTTGGGGTACAACAGTTGCCCCTGTTCAATCTTCTTAGACCTGAGGATGTAGATTGGCTGGCGTGCCTTTCGTAATCCGAAGGTGGAAGATGATTGAACACTAGAGTGCCCAAAAATTTGCACTCACATAGTAGAATGTCAATGGTGTGATGGCGGGAATGGGCTTGCAGATGCCATTTGGAGACTGATGGTATGTGGATGGGCTTATAGATGCCATCTAGGTGTCGATCGCGTAAGAGATTCCTTAGCGAGAACTTGCGTACCTAAGAAAGAAAGATAATTACCTGGCCTGTTACAGGGGTTGATCTTCAAACTCTTTATGCAAACATGCCCTGGAAGGATACAGGAATCGAGTCTGGAATTAGTCGTCAACAGATACACCCTGGCAAGATACAGGAATCGGATCTTCAAACTCTTCAGACGTGCCCTGGCAGGATACAGGAATCGAGTTTTGAATTAGTCGTCAACAGATACACCCTGGCAAGATACAGGAATCAGATCTTCAAACTCTTCAGACGTGCCCTGGCAGGATACAGGAATCGAGTCTGGAATTAGTCGTCAACAGATACACCCTGGCAAGATATAGGAATCGGATCTTCAAACTCTTCAGACGTGCCCTGGCAAGATACAGGAATCGAGTCTGGAATTAGTCGTCAACAGATACACCCTGGAAAGATACAGGAATCGGACCTTCAAACTCTTCAGACGTGCCCTGGCAAGATACAGGAATCGAGTCTGGAATTAGTCGTCAACGGATAC